ACAGTGAAACCATGTCTCAAAAAACCAAAACCAAAACCAAAAAACCCAACAATTATATTTGCTGGTAAATTCTGAGAGAAATAAAATGAAAGTTGATTTAAAAAAGAATTCTCAGGACCAGGAATACCCTCAGTGGCACAGTGCTTGCCTGGCAAGCATGAGGTCATGAGTTTGATTCCCAGTACAAAAAAAAAAAAAAAAAAAAAAAAGAATTGTCTCCAAGGTAAAAGTAGAAATGACCTGCCTAGTAAAAGGTAATATGAAGGGAGGGACAGTTTCATCAGTCCTCTTTAAAATTTAAAACCAAATGTTTGCTCATTTTGTTTTGTTTTTCTGGAAAAGAAAAGCGTAAGCAGAGAGTAGTATCTGTGAACTATGGGGTTTTCATAATAAACCACTGATGTGTGGTTATCTAGTGTTAACCAGATATAATAAAGAGGATAGTAAGTCACAGTAAAAGCCCCTGGGACCAGAAGAAACTTGACACTAATAACTAGAGGGATAACAAAACACCTGAGCCAGGTTCAAAATATGTAAACCTGTATTTTGGGAGACCAAAATTGGAGGCAGCTGGAGGCAGCCATTGTGCCAATTTTTAAACTGTGGAATGAGTTGCTTAATGTTTAATCTTAAACCAAAGGAAGTAGGCTGACATTTATGAGCATCCTACCCATACAACAACCAGACAGCAATGTTAGTTGTTGTCCTTAACCCCTCTTACACATGTTTAACTGAGTCTCGGAAATAGATTAGTAACTCTTCCACAACTCCACAGTTTATAAGAATGAGAGCTAGGGGGAGGGTGGGGAATTAAAAAAAAAAAAGAATGAGAGCTGGGATTTAATTCCAGCTACAGGGAACTCAAAACCCATGTGTATTCTGGTATAACAGTGGTATCCAGGCTGTCTTCTTGGAAGCCCTAGAGTCTAGGACGTTGGAGCTGCTTGTCTTTGATCGGAGTTATTCTGGTTCCATCTCTTTTGTAACTAACTTGACAATATAGTTTTACCTGCTAAATGTTTTTTTGAAATCCAACATGTTGCACTGTTTTCCAATGTCTGATAGTGAGAGACAGTGGAGTAAAATGGCATGGTGCGATCTTGCATATACTCCCCTCAAAATTTGAGAACAAAGAACAAATTTATGCTAAGAACAATGAAGACCACTTTTTTAAATAGTGAAATACAGATGAACAAAGTCCTTCTTTATGCAGATGGTCCCTCATTTATTTACTTTTTATTTATATTGCAGTGTTGGGGAATAAACCCAGGGCCCTGCACAGCACATATGGTAGAAAAGTACTCTTACATAGCGCTATAATCTCAACCCTGCTCCCTGAGTTATGTTCAACTTACGATTTTTCAACTTCACCATCGTTTGAAAGCCATAGATATTTGGTGGAAACTACCTAGAAGTCTAGGTTTAGATCTTTTACCAGGCTGGTGATATAAAGTATAATCCTTAAGATGCTAGGCAGTGTCTGTGAATCACTTTCCAGTCTCCTACTCAATCACAAGGGGAAACAACCGATATTCTACCATGTACTGTGTTGTTTAGCTAGGATGTTTGGTATTTTAGGTGCATTAAATGTATTAATAATTTAGGTTATCTAAATTTTACAATGGATTTATTGGGATTTAGCCCCACCATGAGTTGAGGAGCGTATATGTTGCATGGATGCCCTGCTCAGAAAAAAACTCAGTCTTGCTGCTTTATCTAGTCCTTAAATGAACTTTTTGTTTCCAAAATAAATATTTTCTTCAACTTCCAGGGAATATGGAGCGTTACTAGGTGCCTTAGTCCATTTTCTGCTTCCATCACAGAATACCACAGGTTGCGTATCATAAACAATACAAGTTTATTTGGCTCAGTGTTCTTCAGATTGGAAGTCCAAGATCCAGACTGCATCTGGTCTCCCTGGTGTGCTGCCTTCTCCCACTGCGGAAGGCATCCCTTAGTGAAACAAGTCTGCAAGAGGGGGCAAGAGAGGCCTGCACCCACTTTTTTAATAAACCCACTTTCACAAAAACATACCCATTCCCACCACAATGTCATCAATCCATTAATGAGAACACTGCTTTCACAATCTAATCACCTTTTAAAGGTTTCTCATCTTTCAACATTGTTACTTTGAAGATTAAGTTTCCAATACATGGATTTTGGGTGGCCCACTCAAACTACAGCACTATGTCACTGTCTTTTAAATATTGTCAACACAGTGAAGTATTTCTTTTTGTTCATTTTTGTATTTTGGGACTGGATCATGTTATGTAGTTCAGGCCAGCACTGAACTCACTATTGTAGCCCAGGTTGGCCTCAAACTTTCTATAATCCTCCAGCCTCAGCCCTCCCATGACACCCAGCATGATATGATTTCTTTTTCTTTTCTTTTTTTTTTTGAGACATGGTCTCACTTTTGTAGTTCAGGATGGCCTTGCACTCACTATGTAGTCCAAGCTGCGCTCAAATTCACTGCAAATCCCAAGATTAAAGGCATGAGGCATGTACCAGTATACTCAAAATGATGTGATTTTTGTTTGAAGAATATGTTTAACAATCACTATTCAGAGATTAATTTGTTTTTCCAGACATGGTAGTGCATGCCAACACCAAGGGAAGCTAAAGCAGGAGGATTGTAAGTTTGAGCAGCCTGGGTAATTTAGTAGTTGGTGAAATCCTGACCCAAAAAATTTTTTTAAAAAGCCAAGGATGTGAGTCAGTGGAAGGTCCAGTGATCAAACTCGAAGCAATCCTTCTGCTTCAGCCTCCCAAGTGCTGGGATTACAGGTGTGCACTACCACACCTAATCTTTTTATTTTGTTTTTCATTTCATAGTCTTGGCTTCCTAGCTCCTCCTCCCCAGCTCTTAATTTTATTTGTAGGAAGATTTTTCCCTCTGATCTTGTAGTGGTCTCAAATTTGCTGTGACTTCATTGACAGGCATTGCCATTCCATATCCCCTGCAATTAGTACTACTCTAATTTAATTTTTGATATGGAAAATTCCAACAATAATTTATTAATGTGACTAGTTTGAGAAACTTGCTATATTTATGGCTGAACTAAGTAATAGAGGTGTCTTTAAGAGACTACAGAGTGATTTAATAGCTGTTTTTGAAAGAACAACGCAAGATTTCCATGTTGCCACTGGGATAGTTTGCACATTATGTTCCTGGCAAAATTTCTAGAGATTACAAAGGCATTCAACAACAGAACTCAGAATTCTGTAACTATTTTCTATAGTACAAGAGCTGTAAAAATAGGGAAGTATTGGAGGAGTAGGACTTCTTGTGTGTGTGTGTGTGTGTGTGTGTGTCTTTTTTTTTCGAGACAGAGTCTTGCTACACAGTTCATGCTGGCCTTGAGCTCACTTTGTAGCCCAGGCTGGTCTTGATTTTGCAACCATCCTCCTGCCTCAGCCTCTTGAAAGCTGGATTACAGGGGTGTGCCACCTTACCCGGTTCCTTTTTTTTTTTTTTTTTTTCCTGTAATGGGGATCAATTTCACAACCTCATGCTTGCCAGGCAGGCCCTTATGCCACTGAGCTAAATCTCTGGCCTGTTTTTTGTTTTTTTTAAGCAAAGAAATATTTATTGAGGGAAAGAAAGCTTTTGTCTAAAAGATGCAGGAGGGGTCCAGAGTGGGTTGCCCAGGACTTCTTTATATCAAGATAAATTTCTGTACTATTCGTGGTTTAGGATCAAATTAATAGGCAAGCAATTATAATTTGGTTGAAGAGAGTTTTATTTAAAACAGATATTTCTCATTCCATTCTGGCTGTATTTTATTTTCTTTTATTTTTGGAGAGCGGTACTGAGAATTGTACTCAGGACTTTGCACTTGCTAGGCAGGTGCTTATGCTGCTGAGCTACATCCTGACATTTTTTTTTCTTGGATAAATATCTTTATTTAAGAAATCAAATAAATAAGAGTAAATCTGATGGCAGCAACTTCACACAGGATAGAGGATCAAGCTTAAAACCACTTGCTCAAAAGTCATTCAGAACAGAACAGAATTCTTGAAGTGCTCATAATAAGCACAGAAAACACCTGGTATTACTTGCCTTTCCACGGACATTTATTATTTTACATTGAAATCACATAGTATGGTATAGAAGAGATAACTACTGGCCTCCAGAGTATAACCTAAAAAGCTCAGTGCAAATGTTAATATAATCTAAACTTTTCTTTAATGACAGTTCTTAAACTACATTACAACTTTTTACAAGCACAGATACCAGTCAGTTTATTCAAGTTCCATTTTACTTTCTGAAAGAAAATACAAAAACATAGAGTGGGGCTGGGGATTTAGCTCAGTGGCATAAGCACCTGCCTTGCAAGCAGGCGGTTGTGAGTTCGATCCCCGGTACCGATAAAAATGAAAAACACAAAACAAAAAACAAAACAAAACAAAAACATAGAGTGACAGATATGGTCTGTAGGTCTGGTCCATTATACACATGTACATCTAGGATTCCAAAGTTATAGCAGTGATGATCACTAGTCCTAGTCTCTGACAGAGGCAAGCATAAAACAGCCTCTGCAAAAGCGTTTTGCTTCAGTTTCTTATGTAGTGCTGTGTATTAGCAATGTCTATAGTATATCTCCAAGTGTTCAAATAAATCACTGTCTGTGCTATCAATTTCATTTCCTTCTGCACAATCTTAGTTTTAAATCTGTCTACCAAATCTCGACTATGACAGTGTTTTTTGAATTACTACTCCAAGTTCAAACTATCTGGATAAGGAAAGTCCAAAACTTCCCAACTTTTTTTTTGTTTGTTCATTTGTTTGTTTGATTTTGGTACTGGGAATTGAACTTACAACCTTGCGCTTGCCAGGCAGGTGCTTAAGCCAAACTTCTCAACTTTTAACATACAAATATTTCAAAATTATCCATAAGGAACTCTATAAATAACACTTGATAAGCAAATACTGTTGATAACCAAGATGAAGCACAATGTACTATTTTTAAATTATAAAAGAAATTCCACTAGATTTAGATAAACTAAGAAAAGTAAAAGTTTTATAGGCTATTTAATCAATTACTTACAATGTACATATGCCTGAGTAGATCCCATTGTGACACTGTTTATTTTGAAATTTTTCTGCATTCAGCTTAAAAGATGTTTCTTCCCAAGAAACCGAACTTTTCTGTCAAATGCACTTGATTGAAGAGGAGAGTTGGGTTCATAAAATGGATTCACTGCAAACTTTATATACAAATCATAAACATCAGTAAAGAAGTTCTTTATTCCATCTTCTTGCCTTATATCGTAAAGCATAATAAATCTCAGATGGCTGACAGTGACAAACGCTGATACAAACCATTCATTAAATTTGTCCACAATTTTCAAGTATATGTTGTTTGAGAGCCACAAATTTTCATCCACAAGGTCAAGAGCAGCGTGAGCTATGAACTGGTTCAGATGATGATAATCATCTTTGGGTTCTGCTTTCCCAGCTGGCAAAAATTCCACTTCAAAAGCTGGGTTATCATGGTGACCAAGGATTACAAAGTAGAAGCTTCCAGACTTTGTCTTTAACATATGCCTCCTGTAGTGAGACTCAGGCAAAGGCAACGCCCAGCCAATTCTTTGAAGACAGTATTCTTAACAGGAGAGAAATGGTTCTGATTCTATTTCTATTTCAAAAACTTATTTTTTCTGAAATTCTGCTTTATAACAAACTTAGATGACTGTGATGAACGTAATTGTGACATATTGCAAACATGTACTACTAAATTTTTTTTTTTTTTTTTTTTGCAGCACCAGGGATTGAACTCATGACCTCACACTTGCCTGGCAGGTGCTTATGCCACTGAGCTAAATCCCCAGCCCACTAAAAAATATTTTTAAAGAATCAAGTTATAGCCAGGTGTGGTGGTGTACACCTGTAATCCTAGCACTCAGGAGGCTGAGGCAGAAGGATTACTGCAAGTTCAAGGCCAAACTGTGCTAATAGTGAGTTCAAGGCCAGTCTGAACTACATAGCAAAAAAATCTCTGTCTCTGCCAAAAAAATCAAGTTATATCATGTGCAGGTACAAATTCCTTATGGTGAAATCATTATGTATATCTAAGTGTACAATTAAAATTAACTAATTAACAATTTGTTTGAAACTGAGTCTTGATATATAGTTTAGGCTGCCTCAATGTCCTGAGTGCTGGGATTTACAGGTATGTGCCACCACGCCAGCTGGTTATTTAATTGACATATAAAATCGTGTTATATTTCAGTACATGTTTACATTATGCAATGTTCAAATCAGGAGCAATATATTATCATTATCTATGGTCATCTATTATTGATTTTCTTTTATCGGTACCGGGGATCAAACTCACGACCGCCTGTTTGCAAGGCAGGTGCTTATGCCACTGAGCTAAATCCCCAGCTCCTATTACTGATTTTTAGCATTTCTTTATTTTAGTAATTCAAGATGTACCAGCTTCATCTTGTAACTTCTCTACTCTAGTGTTTCTCTAAGGATCTTTGGTTCCTTTAATTAGAGAATTGTGTTAGCAACCAAGATATGGGTGCTGGATGGGTTCATTGCTTCTGAGTGTCATTGCTTCCAGGTCCTGTCAGAGGACAGAGCTAGGAAATATGTATGAATACTAACCCATACACGTGTGTAAGTCTATAATTATTTCTGTATCTATCCATCTCTTTTTTTGGAAGGGGTACTGGGAATCAAACTCAGGACCTCAGGTTTGCTGAGCCACTGAGCTATATTCTTGGCCTGTGATGTTGTTAGTATGTATATCTAAAATGTACCAATAAAATGAAATTAATTTAAAAAATAATTACAGTAGCATAATCAGACACAATAAAATTAAGTATGTCCCTGTCATCTAATACACAGTCTGATTTCAGTTTTCTGTTGTTTCACCTGACTTTCCAGATAAGATCATATCTTACTTTTGATCTCTCCCTCTCTCTCTCTAGGTACCAGGTATTGAACACATGACCTCAAGTTTTCCAGGCAGGTGCTGTACCACTGAGCTAACTCCTAGGCCATCCATCTCTATATTAAGCTAAACATACATTTATATTGGTGGATCTGACCCTAATTCAGTGGCCTTTTGTTTTTTAATATTTATCACATTTTTTTCAGTTTATTGCCTAAGTATTTACTCCAGTGGGTGCTATTAATATAATTATTCACATGTTTAACAAGTGCCACTACATTGAAAGAATTTTCTTTTTCCTAGGAACCCTGCGATGTTAAGAAAGGAGAGATGACCACCAAACCCTGGGAGATAAATGCTGGTGCTTGCTGCCTGCTGCTGCTCTTGCTGCTTCCTGTCTTCTGCCTGCCTTGCCATGGACTATTTCCTCCTCCTCCATGCCCCTCTGCCATGCCACCCTACTTTGGAACCAGCCCATTGTGGAATGAATCCTCCAAAAACTATGAGCTGAAATAAATGTTTTCTCCTTATAAAAAAATAGTGGTGCTATACATTGTTCTTTCCACTAAATACTGACAAGAAAGAGGTGATGAGTGTAGAAGATGAATTGAAGATCTGCTTATCAGTAATATCTCCTGTTTAATGCTAGAGCTCACCTTATAGAATAAAGACTTTCTAGGTGAAACCACATCATAGGCTTCTCACATAATAGCTATTGAAAAATTGTAATACATGTTTTTAGGATTTAAATTATGTTTAAACATAGTTCTTTTTCCCGCATTAGAAGGTACTTTTGACTTCTTAAAATCTCTAAATTTTAGTAAAGTCTCTGAGGAACAGAAAACAGAATGTACTATGAACAGAGAGAATGAATTCACCATAAAACCTCCAAACAAAATGAGGAAACCTATTAGTCTCTGAACTAAACATCTCCTAACACTGTAAATTGAAGAATTTTTTAGAAAGAGAAGCATGGCATATAACAAATAGCTTGGAAAGATATGGGTTTTAAAGACTTTCTCAAGAGCCCAAATTACTGACTCTTGCTAGAAAGAATGCTATGAAAAGTCAGGTATAATGGTGTATGTTTATAACCCCAGCACTCTGGGAAGCTGAGGCAGGAGGACTGCTAGTTGGAACACAGCCTCAGCAATTTAGTGACTTAGAAAAGTCATGCTTCAAAGAAAAAATTTAAAAAGGGCCAGACACATAGCTAAATATAAAGGCCTTGGGTTGAATCCTCAGTACCATACACACACACATAAAACTCCCTCCCCAAAACCAAAAGAAAAAATACTACTAAAGGGCTTTTTGGAAAAATTAATACATAGCACTTATTTTGCAGATAAAGACCTTGGATAGTCAGAGTGCTTCTTGTTTTTTTCTCTTTCTCTTCCTAGCCATATTTTCCATTCTCCGCTCAAACAGTTTTAGTGTTATCCTATGAACATTTTCTACACTTTCTTCGAAACTTGAAATGCATTCCCTTTATTCACTCATCAAAGTTTTATATAGACATCATCTCTGATCGGAAAGTAACTTCCAAAGTAGAATGAATTATCCATAATGTGTGTATTTGTGTCTTTGATTAGCTAGTGAAGGTTGAAGATGTGTCTAATTCCTCCAGAGCCAATTTTAGATTGTAAAGTAGGCCTTCAGTAATGAACAAATCAACATAAAGTTGTTTCAGATGCTGCTTGATGGAATTCAGAAGTTGCCTCTGGGAAATACTTAAATTGCTTATTGTTTATTTTGTCAAATATATATGCCCTATGCAGTTCAGGCTGGCCTTGGGCTCACTACATAGCCCAGGCTGGCCTTGAATTTGCAGTAATCCTCCTGACTCAGCCTCTCAATTGCTGGGATTACAGATGTGTGCCATCATACCTGGCATTTATAGTGTTTAGAAGACATAGAAGTGGGAGCCAAAAACCGAAGTTCTCTAATTCTAGGTCAGCTGCCATCTATATAATTTTAGAAAACTATAGAATTCCATTTTCTGGCCTAATTCTCTATAGGATTAGAACATTCTACTAGATTCTCAGTCTGGAATGGAATTATAGTCTTAAATATTTTGGGTGAGAAAAATCTTTGTGACCCTCTAACAAAATGCTTACTAATTCCACAAAACCATATGCTATATGGATTTTTGTGGCTCAGTTACAAGTTTTAAGTATTTTAAACTAGGCATGGTGGTATGTGCTAGTAATCCCAACATACAGGGGCTGAAGTAGGAGGATCATTTGAGCCCAGGAGTTTGGGATTAGCCTGTAGAGCAGTGAGAGTGGGGAAAAAAAGACAAAGAAATACATGCTAAGTTTTTCCTTGACAGATTCCCCACAGGCTGAATTAATCATTTGCTAGGCATTCTAGTACTACTGTTTTTCCTGTGCATATTTTTTCCAAATGCTTATCATATTTAAAGGTACAATACGTAGTCAAATTTTGGTTGCCTTGTTAGTCTGTGCCTTTCAGAAAGAAAATTTATATTATTCATCCTTGTATCCTCAGTGCCTTGCTTTAGACTAGCGGTAACAGATACTTAATCATTTGTTGATGAACAAGTAAGAAAGGTTAAAAAAAAAGAAAGAAAGAAAAAGGTGGAATATGAATCAAGCTTTAACTGATGAGTGTTTCAGTAGGCAGAGAAGCAATAAAGAATGACTCAGGGGCATGATATGATTAAAACTTCTTTTGGGAAATTACTCTGATTTAATTTTATTATGCTAGAAACCATGATTATTTTGATGCAATAATTTGAAGGAAGTGACTCATGCTAGATTACAGTAGCCAATTGTTGAATTTTCAGGAATTTTGCAGGCCAGTTGCTAAAAAGTCATTAAAAATTAGATTCTATAAGATTACAATTAAATAAATTATATCACAAATAATGTAATAGCTGGGAATGGTGGCTCACACCTATAATCCCAATACTCAGGAGGCTGAAACAGGATTACCATGAGTTTGAGGCCAGCCTGGGCTACATAGTAAATTCAAGGGCAGCCTTGTACAGTGAGGTTGTCTCAAGAAACAAAACAAAACCTCCTAAAAACTAAAAAGTAATAATGTAATACTCAAAAATTGTCATTTCCAAATTTTTTTCTCTTTTCTTAGATTTCTTTTTTGTCTTTTAGGCTTTCACTATACAGTTTAGGCTGGTTTTAAATTCACTCTGTAGGGTCAGGGATTTAGCTCAGTAGCTCAAGTGCTTGCCTAATAAGTGTGAAGTCTTGAGTTCAATCCCCAGTACCAAAAAAAAAAAAAAAAGAAAAACTCACTTTGTAGCCCTTGAGCTAGAAGTAATTCTCCTGCCTCAGCCTCCCCAGTGCTGGGATTACAGGTGTGTGCCACCACACCTGGCTTTATTTATTTATGTATTATTTTTGAGATAAGATCTTTCTATGTAGTTAAGGTTGATCTTGAACTCACTATGTAGTTCAGGCTGACCTCGAATTCACAAAGCTCATTCTGCTTCAACCTTCCAAAGGCTGAGATTATAGGTGTGGTATTACTGCACCTGACCCAAATCATTTTGTTACATTTTAATACTATCTATTGTGTTTAGATTCTGTCTATTGTATGTTTATGGTAGAAATACTGACATGATTTGCTCCTATGCATCTCTTCCCAATGCGTATTCAATGATATAATCTTGGTAGCCTGAAATTATCCATGCTGGAAATATTTACACTGTGGAAATGGGCAAATGCTACAGATCAAGGCTTTTCTTCCTCCTTCCCCTTCAAAGCAATTGTGGTTAGACATTTACTACTACACCCTAAAAAGTTAAAAAGCAAACAAAAAGTTTGGAAAATAGAATTGGGAAATTTGCAGACAGTACAAAAAAAGAGCTGAAAGCATGAGAAAAAAAAAAGAGAGAATTTGAATTATTTAGATATTCCAAAATACAAATGACAGGGTGTTGAGAAAGAACAGAAAAGACAGAGTGAAGTTTGCTATAGTACAGATTTGTATGGATGTGGGAGCTATAATGAGTAATACAAGGTGGGTTAAAAAGTAATGCAAGAAGCCTTCTAGAACTGAAGGCAAGAGTGTCTAAACTAAAATGGTGGAAGAAAGAGAGAGGCAGTAAAAAAGGTGGTTTTCAAGCACAGTGAATGAAAACATGCTCAACAAGCTGTATAATTGTGCGTTTTTGAAATATCAGAGATAGAAGATTCTCATATCTTCTAGAAACAATAGCAAAAATAGGCTTATACACAAAGATAAAGTTATGTATAGAAATCGGAATTTCATCAGACTTCTCAACAAGTAACACTGGAAACTGCAAGACAATTCACAGTTCTAGGAAAAATAAATTCCTGGAATTATATCCCAGACAAGTTACCACATTAATTAATTGAGATTAAGTAAAGATATCTTACCTTCCATTATATGTTATGGGAAAATACAAAATTTTGAAACAAAATAATAAGAGAAAACAAGTTATATCATGTATAGGTACAAATTCTCTACGATGAATGTGACCTCTATGTATATCTAAAATGTACCAATGAAATCTCATTAAAAAATAAAAATAAGAGAATAAGAATAGTTAATACACTATATCATTATCTTTAAAGTAGTTATTCAGAGTACAAGATACAGACATAAAAGATTTTCTTACGAAAAAGAAACAAATAATAATATAAAACTTTATTTGCAATGACCTAAGAGAAACTAGTGGGGTTTTTTGTTTTTTTTGTAGACAGGTTCTCACTTTGTAGCACAAGCTGCTTTGACCTCCCATCCATCCTCCTGCCTCAACCTCCTGAGTACTGTGTTTACAGGCATGTGCCACCATGCCCACCATGAAACCAGTGATATTTTACCTACTTCTAATCTTTTCCAGAAGGCTGCTGAATGATGTGTTTCATCAAAATGAGGAAGAAAAACAAACATGATGTTTAGGGCGCAGGTGACTCACAAGAAGTAAAGAAAATTCCCAGGCCAATGATGAGGGGAAACCCCAGAATGACAGCTGTGCTGTTGGTTTCGTCAGCAACATTTAAAATCAGGATGGGAAGGCTATTTCCAAGAAAAACCAAAAATAGATGTATTAACTGATAGTTTAAATGGCGATATAGAATCATGGTAGTGCATTTTGGGCAAAAATTAATGATGTATTCATCTTTAGATAAGCACACAAAGCTTAAACAACAACAACAAAATCGTGACAGTAATTAACCCCAGAGGAAAAAAAATCTGACAATGGAGAAAATCTAATCACAGCATATTACACAGACCCACCATGAGATGTATTTTCAAACTTTAATCATATAAATTAAAACTTGTTTTACACCGCAGTTGTTCTGGTGGTTTGGGGAGAATGGGGGAGGATGAGTGTGTGTGTGTGTGTGTGCAGAGAAGGCACAGAGTTGGTGAGAGGCCAATAAGAGGATACCATTCTTAGGGGGAAAAAGACTCCACTCCCCTCCATGAAGATAAAATTTTCCTGAGGTCTCCGATCCTCTTTACACTGTTAAAGAACAGAAAAAGACAGGTCTGGAGGCAAAGGTTTCCTCTGGGCACCATCGTGCGGTTGTGACACCCCAGCCGTTTTAGAGGCAGTGCCGGAGTGGGGTGCAGCCCCTTGCAACCGCTAGGCGTGCACTGGGAACCCCACGGCGCCGGTGCCCACCCCACGCCCACGCGAGGCCAGGTCCTGCCTCCCACCGGGAACCGGAGCCCTGGAGAGTCCGACCACAGCGCGGTTAGGACAAGGCAGCCCTGCCGGGTGGGGCTGCCGGAGCCGGGTGTCCGCCGAGCCCGGCCGTAGCGGGGCCGCCGGAATCGCGCCCGCTGCCTGCCTCGGCGGCCCGCCTACGCCAGGACTGGCCTGCGGTGCTCCTCCCCGGCCCAGGCCCTCGGCCCCTGATCCTCACTCTCAGCCCAGAGCGCGGTCGGTAACCCTCGAGGAGCGAGCAGCGAGCAGCGAGGCCCGCGGGCGGGAAGCAGGCGGCTCAGCCCGGTGCATGGTCCCGGTCCCGGCGGCCACTCGCTGGAGCCCGCAGCACAGTGCCGGGTGTGGATCCGCGTGAGAGGAGGCCTGTCCTGCACCCGCGAGGAGTGGACCCGACAAGGCTTTCAACCTGGGCAGACAGGATGACCTGGAGCTAAACGCATAGCGGGCAGCGAGAGCTAAGCGGCCTTGGGCTACTTCGCAGTTAGGTCTGCCCACTGCGTCGGTTCTAAGGGGAATCTAGAAACGTGTCAGAAAGCTAGCAGAATCCACTGAAAAAGTTCCACGTGGTTGCACTGAAAAGTTACAGTTGGAGAGAGGGGATCAGCGGGGTAGGGAGATGAACGCTGTTTTTCTTTGCAAGCCTGGGACACTCTGTATTTTAAAACTAATGTAACGAAAATAAAATGTTTTAAAAGAACCGTTAGTGACCTTTGGTTACTCTAAGCCTTGATTTCCCAACAAGCCACCCACTTAACTGGCTGTGTGATCTCCGCCAAGTCACTTTAAGCTGTAAAGCCCGGTTTCACTCCCCTCTAAACAAGGGTAGTAGCACTCACCCAAAGAGCTGCTTGAGGGTTAGTGACAAGGTAGGCAAAGTGCGTTTGTCAGAGAATGTGATGGACCAACTAATTGTCCAGTGAACCCTAGGAATGAAGTTATTTTAAATGAGTAAGGGAGTTTGCGGCCAAAAGCGGCCTCTGGCCCACAATACCTGTGTGCTGAAGGGCTAGAGTGGATACGATCCAATTTGAATGTGTGTTTTTGAGCAGACTCAGGCTGTAAAGGAGAGAGTAATAAATAGAGCTGCTTGTGTGAACAACTTGAGGTCTTTTTATATGTTAATTTGTACCTGGACAGCACCCAGGTCCTGAAGGCTGAGGGTGAGAGGAGGGACAAAAGAGGACAAAATTTTCAAAAGAGAAGATGCTGTATGTATTATGAGCAACTTATTTCATCTTAGAAAAAGTGTTCTTCACATGAAAAATGGATCGCATGTCCCTTAAGGCAGAATCTTCTTTGGTGTTTAACAACATCTAAAAGAATAGCTGAGGTCACTTGCTGTGAAGTGTCAATCAGATGTTCAGGTAAAACAATTTTTCCTAGGAACACCCTAAGAGCCCTGAAAAGGTAATGGAGCTGAGGTGTGAACTGGAGTTTAACTCTGAAGCCTATTCTTTCATTTCGTTTTGTCTGTATCAAAATGGTTTACTTAAAAATAAATTACAAAAATAATACACCTCTATGATGTTAGTTATTCCCAGTATCACTTTCTAGAAGTAACATTGAACAATCCTCCAGGCTTAGTTACGCTTGCACACACATACACAGTATATTGTATAATATACTGTCCTGCAACTTGCCTTTTAAAATTTAACAATGCTTAACAGGCCTATTTCCATCCATTAAATATACACATTCCTCACACTCTCTAATAGTTGCACAGTATACCTTTCTATGGAGTACTGTAATTTATTTAAACTACTTTCCTCATAAGGAGTCTCAAAACTTCCGGGTTGTTTTTTCTTTGCTGTGACAAACATTGCTTCAGTGACCATCCTCCGTACATGTCTGTGCACTTTTGTCAGCATTTCTGCTGACAGATTTGTAGATGTTGGAATTGTTGGGCTTGAAGGCCTGCATATTTAAAATGTTGGTAGATACTGCCAAGCAGTACTCAAAATAAAGCTGGTGGTCTTCACTGTGTGCCCCACTGCTTCCCAAGCAAAGTGGTGAATACATTAGGAAATAGCTGGCTTGTTGGCTGTGGTGGCAGCTGTATGGAGCTTTAGTAGCCGTAGGGGTGGGCTACTAAAGGGAAGGAAAAGAGAAAGATTGTGACCAAGTCTTTTAAGCAGAAAGACCCTTTTCTTAGGTACTTTGTGTTTACCCAAGCCAGTAATATTCACTGAAACCTAGCTGGGGAACTTAGGTTTGTGGCTCTCTTGTGGTTAATAAATCCTCACTATTTAAAATAATACGGTATTTGAATTTCTAACAGTATATTACTTTTGTAATAATATAAATAAATGAATGATTGTTCAAAGAGACTAAGTAGTAACCTTTTGCTCTAAATCCAGTATTTCAAATTTGTTTGAGCAAGGTACATTCACATTGTAAAGGGATTCTAGCTTGCCATAGGACTGTGACCTTAAAGAGAAACCAAACAATACCAAAGAGAACATTTCTCCCTTGTGCTTCCTAATAAATATTCAAAGCTCTATGGGTCATTTGCCTTAGGCTTTAAAAGATATTTTGAATGTATCATTTGGCAGAAAATATAAAAAGAAAATACCTTCACTCTTCCACATGAAACAACTTCAAGTATATAAACTACTAAGAAGGTTATTTTAGTTTGGGTTTGAGGGTTGTAAAGAACGAGGACATCCTCTTAAGGACTGTAAGTGATTCGGCATTGACATACAGGACAAGGGGCATAGGCCATTAGGACATTTCCATTGCTAACAGCTCAAAATGGGGCCTCCACTGTAAGCCTGTGGATTTTCACTCCAGGGTGCTCCTACTACCATCATTCATTGGCTCAGTTTTCTCTCAGGGACTGTGTCCTCCTCTTGCCCTCTTACTCCTTATATCCTTTCTATAATTCAGTTTCTGCTGGTAGTTTTTGCCTCCTTAGCCAGGCACAGTGCCATGTGCTTGTAGTCCTAGCCACTTGGGAGACTGAGATGGGAGAGTCTCAAGCCTAGGAGTTCAATGGCAACCTAAGCAACATAGTAAGACCCCATCACAAGGAAAAGAAAATCAACTTTACCTTGTGGAGCACTCCTGCCTCATGGATTCTTCCTGGCTTTAAGTTGTACATCCTCATTATGGAGCTCTCTTTCTAATTAAAATAATTTTTTCCCAATGGTAGGAATCAAACCAAGGTCATCATGCATGTTGAGCAAGTATTCTACTATTGAACTACATCCCCAGTCCTATACTTTTACTTTTTTCTCCCCTCTCTTCCCTAGGCCCTTCCCTTTTCCTTTCCCTCCCTTCTCCCATTTTTCTTCTCCCCCTCCCTCCCCTTCTTCTCCCCCTCCTTCTCTTACCCCTGCTCCTCCTCCTTTTTCTTTCTCTTCCTGCTCTTCTTTCTTCTTCTTCTTTTCCTCTCTCCCTCTCTCTCTCTTTCTTTCACTCAAGATTTAACCCAGGGCTTCTGCACTGAGTTACAGCCCAATCCACTCACCCCCTTTGCATGCCTTTTTGAGACAAGGTCTTGCTAAATTCTTCTAGGCATGACTTGAATTTGTGATCCTACAGCCTTAATTTTCCAAATGCTGGGATAATGGGTATGCTATTCCTAATTTTTTTTTTTCGTCTTTTTTGAGACAGGGTCTTGCTATGCAGTTTAGGCTGGCCTAAGCTTACTCTATAGATTATACTGGTTTCCAACTTGCAATGATTCTCCTGCCTCAGCTCCCGGCGTGCTGGGATTACAGATGCCCTATTTCTACTTCTCAATTCAGAGTACACAGAGAAGGAGACAGAGTTATATTATTCAGTTCATTTTCCCTGGCTGGATACATTATACGTTTTTTGACCAGTTGACAGATTGCTTGTTGTTAGTCCAGAGTTTACTTAAGGCCAGGGATTTAGCTCAGCAGGCATAAGTGCCTGCCTGCCATGCTCGAGGTCAAGGTCGAGGTCAAGGTTATGAGTTCAATCCCTGGTACTGGTGCCCTCCTCCAAAAGGGTTTACTTGAGGTCTGATGAGCAGTGGTAAAATGCTCAGGGTCAAATGGTAAAAAAAAGCTGTGGGTAGAGCAGTTTCCTTCAGAAGGGATTTTTTTAGAAAGGATTTTGGACACATTAAACAACTGTGAGTGACTCATAAAGGTGAGTATATGTATAACACAGATTCAGAGAATATTTAGTCTACCTCATGTTTTCTAATACTAGCATCTGGGATATTTAAAGAAAAAACAACAACTCAAACCCCAAATCCCCACCAACCAAACAGAAACAAAATGACCACAACAACAAACAAAATACAAAACAAAAACCATCAAATTACTTCTCTTTCATGAAAGTCACAATATCATAAAGACTAAAGAAATAAATTACAATACAGAGCCAGGTATGGTGGCACATGCCTGTAATCCCAGCACTCAGGAGGCTGAGGCAGGAGTATTTCTGTGAGTTTGAGGCCAGCCTGGGCCTGGGTCATAAAGTGAGCTCAAGGCCTGTTTAAACTGCATGGGGGGAACCTTGTCTCAAAAAAGACAAAACAAAACAAAACTACAATACAAGCCAGGCATGGTAGTACATGCCTATAATACTAGCACTTGGGAGGCTGAGGCAGGAGGATTTCTATGAGTTTGAGGCCAGCTTGGACTACACAGTGAGTTCAAGGCCAGCCTGAACTACACAGGGAGACTGTGGCTCAAAAAAACAAAAACTAAAACCCAAACTAAAAACCTATAAATAAATAAATTACAATACAAACTAAGTAATATAACTACACAAATATCCATTTGTTCATTTAACACATTTATAATAAGTACTCACGAGGCTATTAACTTCTTTGAGCAGCAAACAATTTCAGTTCCATGGAATTTATGTATTAAAAGTTTGCATAAAAATAGGCAAATAATAATTACATAGTAGAGTACATTGGGTGGTTTTCAGTGATGTGGAGGGGGGAAAAGTAAGAATATAGGAAGAGAAATGTTGCAGAAAGGGACTTCAATTTTAAATAGGAAAAGCCTCTCAAGACAGTAACATTTGAGAAGGATCTTAAGGCAGTGAGCAAATGAGATGTGAATTCATTTGGGGAGGAGAATTCCAGAAGGAGGACAGCCAGTGCCAAGGCCCTGAATGGCCACATTGAAGGTTTACCAAAGAAGTGAGAGCCTCTGAGGGTAGCAACCTAGGAATGGGAGTCGGAAATAGGCCAGAGAAGGGAGAAAGAAGTAGAGAACTGGATCATATGGGAAACTGTATACGAATTAAACTATTTTCATTTTTCCTCTGAATGAATCAAGTAATCATCATAGGAGCCAGGCACAGTGTCACATGCCTGTAATCTCAGTTACTCTGGAGACTGAGGCAGTAAGATACTGAGTTCAAGGCCAGTCTGGACTACTCAACAGGACCCTGTTTCAAAATAATGAGCAAAGAATTGAGCTTAGTGTAGTGTGTCCTTGGAGTGGATCCCTAGTGGGAATGGGGGTGCTGAAGAAAGAAAAGAAGAAAATAAAAGAAAGGAACCATCCCAGCTGCAGCACTTTAAGCAGGGGAATAATGTAATCTGGTTTATATTCCAACAAAACAGCTAGCTGCTGCATTAGGAACAGACTCAAGCTGACCAGTGTGCAAATGTAGAGACCTGTTGAAGACCAGTACAGAAATCCAGGTAAGATCTGTGGTGGTTTAGACTAGGGTGGCAGTAGTGGTGGTGATGAGGAGTGATCATATTTTGTAAAACAAGGAAGATTGCTGATGAGTTGGATATAGAGTTATGAACAACTCTGAGGCTTTTGGCCTGAGAAATTAAAAGAATGGACCTGTCATTAATCAAGATAGGGAGCATAGAGCTAGAGCAGATTTTCTGGTGAGAACTTCAGGAGCTTGGTTTTAGACATACTACTAAATTGTTACAGCCTTGCAGTGCTGGGATTTGAACTCCGGGCCTTGTACATCCTAGGAAGTGCTCTATGACTGAGCTAAATCTTAAATCCCCTATCATACTAATGTGAAATGCCTATAAGTTCTCTAAGTAGAGATGATGAATAGGGAGTTGGGTTTACTGGCATGAATAAGGAATTTAGGGGACAGTACGGTAAATTGGCAGGTGAGATCCAGGCTGTTCAATGTGGCAGCCACTAGCTATGTGTAGCAACTGAAATTTGAATTAAAAAAGTAATATTAAAAACTCAGTGTCTTGCAGAAGGTGGTGATGTAATCCTATAATTCCAGAAC